GAAGGAGGTGCCTTTTGTTATTAGGGTGAGTGAAGCATTTGTTAAACTTGGCTAGAGCCCATGCTAATAGAATTTTGGAAGGTCTAGTGATTTTTTTTAAAGCTATTTATAGGTTACTCCTCATTATGCAATGCAGAGGATATTTTGAGTATTAATGAGTCTGCAGGATTATTCCATGGACTGCTTTGATTTTGTTGGCTGAAGTGTACTTTATAAATAATAACTTACTATTGCAGAATGTATGCAGATTCACATTTTGTGGGTTTTTTTTCTCAAGGATTATGTAGAATTTCTCAATCAGGTAGATTTTGAAATGTGAAAAATAACTGTGAATTATCAAAATTTACAAAGAACTCTGGCACACATTAGGTATGTTCAATGAATGTTTAGTTCCATTTCTTTTCAACGATATCGCTAGACTGCTTTCGGAGTCCCCATTCCTTATGTCTCTGGGACTATTTTCAAAATCCTAAAGCACTTGCTGAAAATGTACATTCCTTAGCAAGGCTCCCCGAAAATTCTGATTTATGAGGTTGGGGGTGAGGCTGTCAAACAACACTCAAGTGAATATTAACACAGCTTCTGGAAAAATGCTGTAGGATAATAAAATTTTGCCTCTAGTGTTTCCCTAAGATAAAATATATTATATTTGAGTAAGTAAGTATTTAAAATTAGAACATTTTAATAGGAGACAGATATGTAGGGTCAATTTGAGCACTAGATATTCAAAATTTCTGGACTTTTTCAAGAACTTTGTCAATATTCTCTTTGGCCCTTTAAATCATGTGTAATTCACTCTGGTAACTAGACTATGTTACCAATAGACTATGATACACAGATGTGATATAAGTTATCAGGTGAAGTAAGTAGAGAAACGTGGAAGTAACGTTTGAGGTTAATTTTAGTAGAATTAAAAAATGATGGTCATGCCCAGAAACATAGAAGCATGGAACAGACTGTGGACTCTCGGAAGGTGGAGGTGGGTGGGAAGGGATCAACCAAAGAACTTGTATGCATATATGCATAACCCATGGGCATAGACAAAAAAGCCTGGGGCAGGGGACGGGGGCCAGCTAGAAGGGGCCAATGGGGGGGGGAGGTGACATGTATAATACTTTCAACAATAAAGATTTAATTAAAAAAATTATGGTCATGAACAGACTTAATTATCCACCTTCTTTTGCTTCTAGAAAAGATTCTGTCAAACAAAATAAAAACAGACTCATAGACACAGAGAACAAACTGACAGCTGTCAGAGGGGAGGGAGTCGGAGGCTGGGTAAAAAAGGTGACGGGATTAAGCAACAAACAAACAAACAAACAAACCCTCATAGACAGATAACAGTATAGTGATTACCAGAGGGAAAGGGGGTGAGAGGAGGTAGGAGAGGGTAAAGGAGGAATAAATGGTGATGGAAGGAGACTTGGCTTGGGGCAGTGAACACACAATACAACATACAGATGATGTATCATAGAATTGTACACCTGAAACCTATATAATTTTATTAACCAATGTCACCCCAATAGGTTCAATTAAAAAAAAAAGAAAGATTCTGCGCAAGTGTATTTACCTAGATGATCTCCATGTGGTGACTCGTAATTGTACACCTCAGATTTGGGAAAATGCTGAAAGAGCCAAGTTCTGCTCTGGATAATGGTGCGAAGATGTTGGCAGATCATTATGCTTCTTGATTTTATGGAGGCTCCTTTCATTCTTTCAATGAGGTACACAGTTGAGGAAGATCTAGTACCAGATGGTAATGTTGGCTGGGAGTGGTTTTACTCACCTACATTTGGCAGCTCTACTTGGAAGTGGTGCTTTCAACGCCTGAAACTTCCAGTCTGCACCATTTAACATGATCATTGGGAAGCTTTAGGTGGTGCAGACACAATAACACATCTCATTAAAGGTCTTGTAACTATGAACATCTGACATCTGTGCTGAAAACAGAACTGGATGCGGCCTTCAAGTAGTTATAGATTCCAGTGGTATGTTGTTTTTTAAAGACACTACTGACATTCGTTATATTAACCAGACTATTAATTTCTGGAGGCATTTTTCACTTGGAGAAATAGATTACAAGTGAATGGGCTGCCCATTTGAAAGATAGTCTCCTCTTAAATGAGTTCCCTCTTTTCCAGACTTTAGACAGTGATTTTAGCCGATGACTTAGTTGTCATTTAGTAATAACAGTAATAGCTATCCTGATTTGAATACCTATATTGTGCTAGGATACTTTACTAGTATATATAAGCTGTAAATATATAAATGGCCCTCCAAGGTATTTCCGTTTTGTGGATGAGAGACCTGGGTCTCTGAGAGGTTAAGGAACTTGCTGAAAACCATGAGAACTCCAAAGCGACAGAGCCAGGATTATGCCAGCTGTGTGGCTGCCCAATGGGGGTCTCTGTCGGTCTTGTCACCAGTCCCTGCAGTATGTACAGGAATAGTTAACATTCATTTCTATAAACTGCAACAAGCAGCTGTTGCTAAAAATTTCTTTAGTTAGTGTTTAAACTGAAAAAAAAAATTTTTTTAAAGCAACCAGATTTAGCCTTTAAGGAGCTTATTATTCAAATAATTCTTTTACACAGTAATGAATAACACCCTGATTCTTTATACACATTTTTAGGAGCTTTAACTTAGGTTTTAAAAATACCTAATGGCTCTTCTTGTTAGAGATTTTAATGAAATTAGGAAATAACAGGTAACCAAATCAAAGTGCATTCATCCTAAATTTGGCCAGCTCCTCACAGCTGCAGAAATTCAATTTTACCCAATTCCCCATCCCCCTTTGCAAAGTCCTAAAGCACAAACCCATTGGGAGTCCCCTCCATCTCCCAGAGGAAATATTTCATTCATATAATGTCTCCTTTGTAATCCACACAGAGAAATGTCATTTTGATTAAACACAACTCAATGACTAAGACCACAGCACAATATATTCTCCAGAGCTATCTTCCAGAACAACCGATTGCTCGCCAGTCTTCATCCTCTAGAGTCTTATTTAATCAAAATGATGTTGCTAATTAAGGATTAAACTTCTGAATAGAATAAAAATAAAAGATTTTTCTTTCCCCTTTGGGCAGGTCAAGGAGGCAGAATTTTCTATAAAGAAGTGAAGAGTTCCTTCCACCTTGGGTGAAACTTCATCATTCTCTGACATTTGGACTTAATCCAAAATAGGCCTGAGTGCTTTGTAATATTAATATAATTGGAGAGAGAGAGAGAGAGAGAGAGAGAGAGAGAGAGAGAGAGAGAGAGACTAACTGCCTTGGATAACTACATGGACCTAGCTAACATTTTTTTTCATTTAATGATTTTAATATAAATTTTCTGAAAACATTTTGTCTGATGCTCTCTGGGCATTGCTTTATCTATTGCTAACATTATTCATTGTTAACGTTGGAAAGTCAGACCATTTTAGAAAAATGTTGGCAACCCATTTCACAGAAAAGTGCGAACAAAAGATGTAATGTATCTCATATCTGTTTGACATCTACTGATGAATAATAAAGAACACAACAAAATTCTTTATGAAATGCTCTACCTTAAGATAAAAATTTCCATTTTTTTGAATTCATAATTGATAATAAAAATTGGTTCCTCAAAACCACATAAAACTGTATAACAACTCATCAGAAGAGGCCAAGACTCACAGAAACATGGTTTGGTTGTCAAGGAATACAAACTCTTTCAGATGATGGGGGCGAAGTGGATGCAAAGCAGAGATACTGGTTGATGTTTTAAAAAATTATACAAGCCCTGGCCGGTGTAGCTCAGTTGGTTGGGTATCCTCCTGTGCGCCAAAAGGTTGCTGGGATCCCCGATAGGGGTGTGCAGGAGGCAACCAATTGATGTTTCTCATCCCTCATCCATGTTTCTCTCTCCCTGTCCCTTTCTCTCATAAATAAATAAATAAATAAATAAATAAATAAATAAATAAATATTGTGCAATACTTCTATCCTTTTTCATATTCTCTCTGTTTTGCCCTCTGAATGTATAATCCCTGCTAAATTAGTCCATCCCAATGTAATAACTCATAATAATAGCTACTGCTTATTGATCACCTACTATGTGCCAGGTTCTCATTATTACCTCTAATAAAAGCCAAGAAGAGGCATTATTATATCTCTTTAGGAATGATTACGCTGAAGCTTGTAAAGAATAAATGACTTGACCGAGGTCAGGCAGTTGTGTCAAACAGAGGTGAGACTTCCCTCCAGGCCTGCTTTGAATGTGCTCCAAAGCCACATTCTCTGCACTATGCCAAGCCATTTCACACTTGCTTACTTGGAGGGTAAATGTATCAATGTGTTTTCAGAAGGTGCTGGGAAGTTGTGTTGCTCTGTACCCAACTCATATGTTCCTGTCGTTAGTGCCTGAATCATTGTCAGGGGCATGGTCACATTGTAAATCCCCTATCCGTGGTCGGCAAACTGCGGCTCGCGAGCCACATGCGGCTCTTTGGCCCCTTGAGTGTGGCTCTTCCTAAGCCTTAGGAGTACCGGAATTAAGTTAATAACAATGTACCTACCTATATAGTTTAAGTTTGAAAAATTTGGCTCTCAAAAGAAATTTCAATCGTTGTACTGTTGATATTTGGCTCTGTTGACTAATGAGTTTGCCGACCACTGCGCCTAGCCCGATGGTCGGCAAACTGCGGCTCGCGAACCACATGTGACTCTTTGGCCCCTTGAGTGTGGCTCTTCCACAAAATACCACGTGCGGGCGCGCACATACAGTGCGACTGAAACTTCGTGGCCCATGCGCAGAAGTCGGTATTTTGTGGAAGAGCCACATTCAAGGGGCCAAAGAGCCGCATGTGGCTCACGAGCCGCGGTTTGCCGAGCCGCGGTTTGCTGACCACTGGCCTAGCCCAATCAATGATGAAGACTGGGCTACTACCCTCAGAAGGGCACCAGAAAGCAAACAACGAGAAATCCCAAAAGAGAGAGGAATACCATAACCTGTTTCTCTCCCAACCAGTGCTACCTACCAGTTACAGAAAGACACTCGTTTCTGTGATCCAGGCTCCTGGAGGCTGTAAGCGCCCAGTGGACAAACGATGGCTCTTACTCCTCCCGAGCCGAGGCAGAGGGCCAGCAGAGCTACGTAAAACAGCCGGCTCTGCTCCTGTTTTGGTATGCGGTTGGTCATATGGTGACCACCTACATAGAAATCTTCCAAAGGAAAGGCAACCACAGACAACAGAGCAGTGCCTGTGGACGGGGGAAAGGAGAATAAATATGTCATAAACCAAATGAATCACCAAATCACATCACAAGTAAGGTTTTTCCTCTGAAAGTAGCATCGTTCTGTGATTGTCTTATTAAAATATCTGTTAACCATTGCCATTTTGGAGACAGCAGGATTTTTCTAAATGTGAACATGTCCTTCAACATGTATTTTAACTAGTCTAGAGTCCTCGTTTTCCCCCCTTAAACTTGAACTATTGTTTTTCTCAGAATGTATAAGCAAATCATGCCCATTTTAACAAAATTAAAGTAATTCAGAAATATATCCTGTAAGAACTTAAAGATGCCTGTAATCTCACCCCCAGAAAAAACCACTGTTAACCAGATTTATTTGTTCTTACTCAATAGAGTGATAAAAAAGTGGTATCTCAGACATCTCAGAAGCCTGCGAAGTAAAGCATTTTTAGAATAACAGTGTAGTTAGAGGAGAGCATAGCTTCTTTCCCTTTTCTGCTTCTCTTTCTCCTTTTAATGCCCTTCTTTCTCTCATTCCTCACACAGAAAACATTCCCTGATACAGAACAGCAACCTCGTGACTGTCCAGTCCATCCTGTCCCCTTACCTGGCATGTTTTTCATCATGACACTCATCAACCCCTGTCATAGTATAAGTTTACTTGTTTTCTCACTCCCTGCACCAGAAAGTCAACTTGGGCTTTCTTCTCTGTTGCATTTGCAGATTCTAGAACAGTGCCTGGGTCAGAGTATTGATGTCAGTGAGAAATGTCCATTGAATGTTGAATGAATATTTGCCATGCAGTGGCTTAGTTTTGATTTCACAGACGGAAGCAGTAAAGAAGCTTACATGTTGGTATCACACTCTAACCCATTCGGCGAGTGATCCTTTACCACCTGCCTGAAATTGTGTGATATGTTGCATGTCTGAAAACCCATCCCTTCCTCATTCATCTCACCCACTGTGCCCCAAATCTGCATTTCTGTTGCACTTCTCCATATTGGTGAACAGCATACATGTTCTAAGTTCCTCAGCTCAGAAACTTGGAGCTGATTTGTATTCCTCCATCATATTTATGTCATAATTTAGTTGCCTAGTTTTTAAGTGGGTTTTTTTTCACGTTCTCTCCTGAATTAACACGTCTCCATTTCCTAGACCAGTGGTTCTCAACCTTCCTAATGCCGCGACCTTTAATACAGTTCCTCATGTTGTTGTGACCCCCAATTTCATTGTTACAAATTGAACATAATTAAAGCATAGTGATTAATCACAAAAACAATATGTAATTATAGATGTGTTTTCCGATGGTCTTAGGCGACCCCTGTGAAAGGGTCGTTTGACCCCCAAAGGGGTCGCGACCCACAGGTTGAGAACCGCTGTCCTAGACCATCATCCTGAGATTTCTGGTCTCCCTCTGTCTCCCTATTTAACCTCTCCCTGTGGTTGCCCCTCCCGTTTATTGAAGAAAAGCATTTCCCAAATGTTTTCATCATATCATCAGTGAGTCTTTGTTGTCTAGAAGGACAACTTGAACTTTTCAGCCTAAAATTCTAGACTGCTTATCAACTTGCTCTCTAGACCTCAAACAATCTTGATATTTCCCAAACATTTCTCACAATCACCTTACTCTCAAACTTTAGATATATTTATTTCTCTCTATGTAAAGAGGCACAGGGTAGTGTTTGAATTCATTCATTTTTTTTTAGCATACAGCCATATTTCATGATATAGAAAAAACATCTTCATATGCAATCTTAATTACTGTGTGACTAATTGAAAGACCACCACTTGATGAAAACATTTCTCAATTACTCTACATGGACTTCAAAAATCTTTATAGCATTTTATCTTAGTTGTGGAGTAAATGAACTACATGTTTCACATAGCATTGGTCATGAATTTGGATTTGGGAATAGGACAGAGGAAAGGAGGCATTCTAAGGAGTACAAAAGACTGACAGGTAAAGAGCTAATTACTATAAGACATAATCAGTGCAACGATATAGGCATCAAAGCATCCTCCAACACACACACACTTACTAGCATCCCTCAAATAATAAGGAAGATGAAATAAATTGAAAAAACATTCTTACTTCATTGATCGCATTTGACCCTAAGAGCAAGGCAGAAATAACATAAACTATAAATTCTAATGACAACCCATGCAATTAAATTGCAAAACAATCCAGTCAGAAGAGGACACTCACCTAGAAAATGTAGACATAAGCAAACATATGCCAGTCTGTTTCTTCCCAGACAGATATCAGCAAACCACCCTGCAGACACAGGGCTAAGGATCGAAGCTCCGATAAAACACAAGTTCAGAATGGCTGCCTGGTGACTGCGGTGGCCAAGCTTGACCGTGCAGAAAGGGATCATATTGCAGACGACTTCGAAGAAAGTGAACCTCTCGCACAGCTCCACCAGGAGCCAACAGATTCCAACCCGAGCTTTCCCCACACAGTGTGATGAAGAGAGGTAACCAATCTGTCTTATATTTCTCTCTTTCTCAATGCTGTCATTTAAAAGTGCTTTCTCCTCAGTTATTTCAAAGTCTACAACAGACATGACTACCCTCCTTGAGTACCACTAATGTTAGTGGCTTGAACTTGGAGATTTTTTACCTCTACATCTCTAATGAAAAAATAAATAAGATCTTGGCTTTGAATTTCACAGCTCCATGCTAAGGTTTCATAGGATTTTTTGCACGCTAATGTTGTTCATTTTGATGACCCAGGCACATAGGAGAGGATACATGAGTATCTGATGTTCATGTTGGCCCCTGGTACCCAAGTCAAATGTGTTTGCTTAATTACTCAGAGGCTAAATTAGGCTCTTCTTCCCAAATTATATCAAATTACCTGAATCTGGTTGCATATGTGTGGGAAACTCATCTGCCTCACACTGATAAAGGTTTAAATACCGAAGCAGAAGAAGCTGTTTTTTTTTTTTCCAGGAGAATTTGAGCACTAGATCAAGAAATAATTTGAGTCTAATAATTTCTGATACTTTAATTAAACAAGCCAGAACAGTACCAAGAGATAAAGCGCGCAAGGAAATCTGTTTTGAGGGGGGCAGGATACCTTATCGTTATTACATTTCTTGTTATTTTTGGTGGGGATTCTGATAAGAAAGCTAATTAGGTAACAAAAGTGCTAGTACATTTAGGTAACAAGCAGAGTTTGCAAGAAAGTAATTTAAGTGCACGAATGAAAGGAGAAAAATATTACATGAAATCCCTCTTCCTTTAAGTTGACCCCATGCTTGCAGAGCAGCCTCGCGGAGGAAATCAGAATCAAAAGGCGCTATTTGACTCCTTATTACTAGTGAGCAGCAGGGGGGCAGCAACCATCCCATACATGCTTTGGGGAATATTGGATGTGGGATCACCCTGACCCTCCAGCTGGGTGAATGGATGTTAGCATTCTATTTTGGAAAGCAGGAGGGCACCAATTAAGCTAAAAAAGCAGCGGTAAAAGAGAACACTTTTAACATTCAGGGGTTTAGCTGCAAGGACATACAAAGACAAGGCAATGCAACGATTGGGTCAAAGTCATAATAATTCAGCACATAGGGAGTGAGGCCGGAAATGTTATTTTCACGTGGGAGTCAAAAGCAAAAGACTGATAAGGGCTTTTGACTCTGATTCTTATCTTTTGACCTGAGAGATTGGGAGCAAAACACTTTGTTTTGACCCCTGCTAATAGTCTCATTGTAATGGTAGCTATTTTCATCTGCTCAGCATCGCTTCCCCTTCTTCGGTAACAATGCCCTCTTTTTCCTTTGTGTAGAGTGATAATGCAATTTATTATCCAAACTTGGACACTTTTGTGAGTAAAAGTGAGACTATTTATAGTTATTCCTGAAAAACAGTTATAAATTGGGACTGTCTAGGGCAAATCCCAACATGTGGTCATCCTACCTTCGGGGCTGGTTTCCATCTATTACATGAGATCCCGAATGACTGTTAATCGGGGCATCTCTTTACTTCTAGCCAAGGAGATGAGCACATGGTTAAAGCAATCCTTTCACTTTTCCTCCCCAGGAATTTTAATCATGAGTGGAGCACTTAATACGGGCCCTGGTGGAAGCTGAGTCATTCGATGGCAGCACCCACAAAGGAATTGCCCCTGAGGCTCTGGGGGAGAATGCAGTGCCGCTGTGATTCTTATGATTCTGTGATTCTCCAAGAGGCAGGATTTGTTTTCCTTCTGTAAAGGACTCAATTTCCAATCAACTTGGATTTGATTAAGTTAGCCACATTTGGTTTCTGGGGCTCACAAGGAACCTTAAGTGAGAGTTTATGTTGCCCCAGATGCAAGAGACAGTTTTCCTGCAGCCACTGGCTGTGTTTAGCCAGCAGCGGACAAGGGATTCCTGGAATGTTACAGTATTTCACAACCCAGGCTGTGCTGCCCCTCCCAGGGCCCAGTGACGGTTGTGTGTGAATTCTTTGGCTCCTCTGTGTATCCTTGCCCAAGAACAAGCCACAGGTGGTGGGAACCTGTGGTTTTGGGGTGGTCCAGTTAGGGAGAGTAACAGCATTTGCGGAGTAGAGTGGAAGCGATAGGGAAACACCAGTTTCTTATTGGTTTCTCTCAATACCAAGCTCAGAGTGAGCTTAAAGGACAAATAGCAACTCCACTTGAGAGCACTTGGCAGAATCTTGAATGTCATCATCTTTATCAGCAAGCTTGAGACCTTGAGTGGGGACTTAGCATCCTTCAGTTTTTATGCAACTCTCCCCACCCCCAGGCTTATTTTCTGTTCCTCTCCTTCCTCCCCTGAACCCCCTGAATAAAGTGATGTTTTTCTTCCATTTTAGAAGCAATGTATGTACATAAGATATAATTTGGGAAATATCTAAAGATAGATATAAAAGAAAAAAAACAAACAGTGAACATTTTTGGAGCTATTTTTTTGGTATATTTTTTTTTTGTGTGTGTTAATCCTCACCCAAGGATATTTTCCTATTGATTTTAGAAAGAGTGGAAAGGAGGGATGGAAGTGGGAGAGAGAGAGAGAGAGAGAGACATTGATGTGAGAGAGAAACATCGATTGGTTGCCTCCTGCACATGCCACAACATGGGCCGGGAATCGAACCTGCAACCCAAGTACGTACCCTTGACTGGGAATCAAACCAGAGACCCTTGGTAGGCTGGCCAATGCTGTAACCACTGAACAACACTGGCCAGGGCTTGGAGCATTTGTTTTCATGTTTTTCCCTTTTTTTTCTTAGTAGGTTTTAAAATATATAATTTTATACAATTGCTGTATAATACATTTTCCACTCCTTTTGTAGGTAATGTTGTTAGCACTTTAACATGCCATTATGAACTCTTTGTGAACATGAATTTTTATGGTTGCATTAATGGACACATCATTCACTTAACTATTCTTCCACTTTTGGTAGCATTTGTCCCAGATCAGTTATAAGCAGTCTTTCTTTAACTTTGACCATGAACCCACATTTCAAAGAAAAAGCACCTTTATCAACAATACTGGAATGAACATATGTACATAAAGCTACTCCCATGCCCACACTATATTTTTAGGCTAGTTTATGAAAAAGAATTTTACTGGGTTAAAGTGTGGGAAGGGTTTTAGGTGTCTTAAAACATAATGTCAAATTACAATATAAATTTCAGACATTTTTTTAAATTGAAAAGTCCATATTGTTTTTGAACACAGAGACTCCACTTGAGAGCATGCTCTCTAAAACACAGAACATGTTACTCTTGGAGGACCTAAAGAAGTTGTTTTTACTGGTTCAAGGTAGGAGCAGATTCAGAAGGCCTGCAGCAGGGAGCTTCAGGGATGTGAGAAGAAATGAGTGATGATGCTGAAAAGCAAAGAAAAAGCCAGATCACAAATGGCTCCATAAGACAGGCTTTTGATTGGTTGTTGAAGTCATTCCTCTTTTATAACCTGACCTAACTAAATTGAATTCTACAAAAAGGCAGGGTATAAAGGATTAAAGTCTTTCATAACAAATCATTTTTTTTCTACTCAAGATCAGACGTATGAGCAACAGCTAAGAGGTATTGACAAGACAATAATCCTCAGCTACTTGTTTTACTACCACCATCACCTAGAGTACTAGTGTAGCAATCTACACAAAAAGGAATTAAAAAAGGAAGAACCAAGATTTGGAAGAAAATTGGAGGCAGGATTTTTAGAACTAATTGGATGTGTGGGATGAGGAAGAGGACATCAAGGATGATGTTTCTAGCATAGACATCACAGTGGACAGTGGTGATATTACGTACAAAGGGACAGATTTGGGGTAAAGTAAGATGACTCTACTGTTTGACAGATTGAGTTTGAGACACCTATGACATATCCCATAGGCGATGAAAGAGAGGAATCAAATTCCCTTTCTTGTGTGTGTGTGGGAAGAGTTACTTCTTGCTTTGCGTGGAGGTGAAGCATAACCTCCAATGACACTTTGTATGACAATGTTAAACATTTTCAAGGCAAAAGCAGCTTCAGAACATTACTATTTAATCACTTCTACTGAATACCATTAGAATTTCATGAGAAATTATGGGGACACTATGCCATTCCTATGCAAAGCAACCAGAGAAGGCTATAGGAGACTACAGCCAATGGTAAACATACATGATAGGACAACAGTAGACATTTTGGAGAAAAAGTTAGTTTTCATTAAAACAAAAAAAAATAACTGTTTTAGTTGTTTTGAAATTAATTACTAAATACTAACCTGATTCCTTTTTGAACTTTAAGTCACTTCCTTTTTTATTTCTTAGAGTAAACTAAACAGGTTGACTGTGACTTTAACACTAGATTATATTTTCAGAAAAGAAAAATGTAAGCATTTGGATCATATGTTATGTAAATGTGAAGGTACAATTATTTCCTTGTCTTCATTTAATATTTCGGGTTTGCCTACACCAATTCTAGAGAATATGTGTAGGAGGAAATAATTAACCTCTATAACACTGGTCTTAAAACTTAAAATGTTGATGAATATTGAAGCCTCCATTTTTAAACCAATAGTTTCCTTAGACTATGATCTTGACCAATTTAGAGACAAGGAATACTGGCTTCCTTAAGAAAGGCATCTTACTGTAGGGCAGCGGTTCTCAACCTGTGGGTCATGACCCCTTTGGGGGTCAAACGACCCTCTCACAGGGGTCGCCTAAGACCATCGGAAAACACATATATAATTACATATTGTTTTGGTGATTAATCACTATGCTTTAATTATGTTCAATTTGTAACAATGAAATCGGGGGTCACCACAACATGAGGAACTGTATTAAAGGGTCGCGGCATTAGGAAGGTTGAGAACCACTGCTGTAGGGGAAAAGAGGGCTGGAGAGATACCGAGGTAGAAGGCACCTCTCCCTTAATTTCAAAATTATACAATCTTAGATCTGAAAGAAGGCATTTTGGACAAACCCCGTTTACAATGGAAGCTCTGAGAGCTGAGGTGACTGGTCTAAGCTAACTTAGCTAATAGCTTGTCTTACAATAAAATGTATGCCCCATTGCTGCCGTCCAATTTCATTTCTATAACATTGTAGTTGGGCAAAAATCTGCCT